GTGGAGAGATGGGGCAATGATTTAATCATCTCCATCTCGTCCAATCAGAGAATGCCTTGTATTTATTGAGGAAAAATACAAGGCATTCAGTGAATGGTGCTGTGGCGAGTGAGCATCCCCGTGTTTACTATTCAGCAGGACAGCTGCTTGGTGTGGGACCTAGAAGGCAGCAGCGATTACTGTAGATCTACCACAGGGATTCTCTACTTCCACAGATGTCCGGCAGGTATAGCATATACTGGACCTATGTAATAAAATCCACACCTGGAGTTTAGCTTGAGGGCCAGTTCACATAATGCCCTAATATGAATTGCATAGGAACATGCTGTGCTTTCCTGTGCGATTCATATTCGGGTCTATGCAGCGCAATCTCATGCCCATTCATGTGAATGGGATGAAATTGCACCGCACCGTGCTAAAAGTAGTGCATGCACTATTTTTTTTAAATGCACAGCGACCACATTGCATGGTAGACGTGCAGTTTGTTTAGTTCCAAATCAAAATTCAGACACGTTTTCCATTATTAGGAGATTTGGATGTATCTGAATTTAGAACTACAATAGTAACAATTTAAACGAATCTGAAATAACGAAATTAAATTTGGCCGAAATTCGAATCGCTTCAAAAGCACATTTGAAAACAAATTCAAATTAGAAAACAAACTGGAAAACCAAGACGAATTTGAAAACAAGAATAGAATAAAACAGAACAGAAAATAAAGAAACAGAAAAGAATAGAACAGACAATAAAAGAATAGAATAGAAAAGAACATAGGAAAAAGGAACAGAATAGAAAATAAAAGAATAGAACACAATGCAGTAGAAAATAATAGAGTAAAAACAGAACAAAATAGAATAGAAAATAAAGGAATAGAAAAGAATATAATCCATTAGAATAGAATAGAAAAGATTAGATTAGAAAATCAAAGAATAGAAAAGAATAGAATCAATTAGAATAGAAAATCAAAGAATAGAATAGAAAATGATAGAGTAAAACACAGCAAAACAGAACAGAAAAATAAAGGAATAGAATAGAATCAATTAGAATAGAATATAAAAAAAATAGAATAGAAAATCAAAGAATAGAAGAGAAAAGATTACAACAGAGAATCAAAACATAGACTAGAATAGTATAGAAACAAACAATAGAATAGAATTACATAGAATGTAACTGCCTTCTGAAATTCGAATTTTGAATAGAATAAATTTGAGTTCGAACAGAATTCATTAGAATATAAACCAATAGAAAAGAATGGAAAAGAATAGAATAGTTTAGAAAATGCTAAAATACTTTACAAAAAATAGTGAGCTGCGCTATGGTGACGTGAGTAGTGATCAACAAAGGGCAAAATTTTGCGGAAATAGAAATTTCCAATATGGTCACGCAACTCTTCATATAGCCCATATTTTGATTTTGAATGTTTGCCCACCCACAAAGAAAAGATCGGTCTAAAAATCGAATGGTAGGTGTATTGTAACACTGAGAGACAGAATAGCAACAAAAAATTCAAAAGAAATGCATGTCTAACAAATGATGCACTGATTTGCATGTTCATGAGGGAAATAATTATTTGATCCCCTTCACAAAACATGACTTCATACTTGGTGACAAATCCCTTGTTGGCAATTACAGAGGCCAGACGTTTCCTGTAGTTGGCCACCAGGTTTGCACACATCTCAGGAGGGATTTTGGCCCACTCCTCTTGGCAGATCCTCTCCAAGTCATTAAGGTTTGGTGGCTGACGTTTGACAACTCAAACTTTCAGCTCCCACCACAGATTTTCAATCGGATTAAGGTCTGGAGACTGGCTAGGCCACTCCAGGACATTAATGTGCTTCTTCTTGAGCCACTCCTGTGTTGCCTTGGCCGTGTGTTTTGGGTCATTGTCATGCTGGAACACCCATCCATGACCCATTTTCAATGCCCTGGCTGAGGGAAGAAGGTTCTCACCCAAGATTTGATGGTACATTGCCCCGTCCATCGCCCTTTGCTGTGGTACAGTTGTCCTGTCCCCTTAGCAGAAAAACACCCCCAAAGCAGAATGTTTCCACCACCATGTTTGACAGTTGGGATGGTGTTCTTGAGGTCATAGGCAGCATTCCTACTCCTCCAAACATGGCGAGTTGAGTTGATGCCAAAGAGCTCCATTTTGGACTCATCTGACCTCAACACTTTCAACCAGTCCTCCTCTGCATCATTCAGATGTTCAGTGGCAAACTTTAGACAAACCTGGACATGTGCTTTCTTGAGCAGAGGGACCTTGTGGGCACTGCAGGATTTCAATCCTTGTCGGCGTAGTGTGTTACAAATTGTTTTCTTGGTGACTGTGGTCCCAGCTGCCTGGAGATCATTGACAAGATCCTCACGTGTAGTTCTGGGATGATTCCTCACTGTTCTCATAATCATTGACACTCCACAAGATGAGATCTTGCATGGTGCACCAGACCTAGGGAGACTGACAGTTGTTTTGTGTTTCTTCCATTTGCGAATGATTGCACCAACTGTTGTCACCTTCTCACCAAGCTGCTTGGCCATAGTTTTGTAGCCCAGTCCAGCCTTTTGTAGGTCTACAATTTTGTCCCTGAAATCCTTGGTCAGCTCTTTGGTCTTTGCCATGGCGGAGAGTTTGGAATCTGATTGATTGCTCCTGTGGACAAGTGTCTTTTATACAGGTAACAAAATTAGATTAGAAGCAGTCTCTTAAAGGGAGTGCTGCTAATCTCAGCTTGTTACCTGTATGAAAGACACCTGGTAGCCAGAAATCCTGCTGAATAATAGGGGATCAAAAACTTATTTCCCTCATGAACATGTAAATCAGTGCATCATTTGTTAGACATGCATTTCGTTTGAATTTTGTGTTGCTATTCTGTCTCTCAGTGTTACAATACACCTACCATTCGATTTTTAGACTGATCATTTCTTTGTGAGTGGGCAAACATTCAAAATCAGCAGGGGAGCAAATACTTATTTCCTTCACTGTACCATCAAAAACACATATAGATTGTGGATTGTAACATTAGAATTATTATCAAATCCGTTACAATTGTTTTTGAATCTGTTGGAGTAATTTTCGAATCCCTTAGAATTATTTTCGAATCCGTTTCAAAATGTCAAATTCAAATAAATGAAACCAATTCTGAAAAACAAATTAAATGAATTGAACGAATTGAACGAAACAAAACTAGTCGAATAACGAATCGAAACAAATTTTTTTTTTCATTTTGCACATGTCTATTGCATGGTACTTTGTAGCATGTGGTTTGGCGTGAGCCGATTCGGGGTGTTGTTAACTTTAACTGACCCCCGCAGCAGATCGCAAGAGCATTGCGATAGGAAAGCCGCACGGGAACGCGACTCTCCCGCACTACATTCCGCTGTGAATGAGCACTGAAGGAGAGAGCAGAGAGATGAAATAAACCTGCTGCTTCTCTTTTACTGTCCAATCACAGACTAGATAGGGACACATAGGTGAACAGGCTGTATAACATTGCAGCATCAGAGAGAAGTCCGGTCACCAGGCTGACTGTCCTGTGTAAGGGCCTTTCACACGGGCATTCCGTATGTCCATTTACTGATGAAAAATGGACCCCCATGTATTTCTATGGACTAGCGGTTGTAAATGGATGATCATCTGTTTACATCCTTTATTATTATTATTATACAGTATTTCTATAGCACCAAAAGGTTTGCTCAGCGCTGTACATTATAATGGGGGACAGAACATGAGACAATACAGTAACAAAACAATACACGAGGGGTTCGAGGGCCCTGCTCTTTCGAGCTTACAATCTAGGAGATTTAGCCACTTACCTGTCGCAGTATAGCAGATATACTGCTACACGGCAGCACGGGTGCGCAAAATCACGTATATATGTGATATTACATTTCTGGGTAGGGGGCGTGCGCGCACCGCACGTGCGCCCTACCTGCACCACCATTCGCAGCCGTGGATGTCAATCATTGAGTCCCACCCAGTGATTACCAGATGGCGCCCAGTGATTACCGACAATCACCGACGGGGAGGAAGACTGTTTTGTTTACAGTCTTCCTCCCTGTCAGCTTGGGCATACTGCTCAGGATGGCTGTGGACAGCACATCAGTGTGTACAGTGAAGCACACACCCCCCCCCCCGCCCCCTAGTAAAACAGTCCCTGCACACAGTTAACCCTTTGATTGCCCCTCACATTAACCCCTTCCTGCCCAGTGTCATTAGTACAGTGTCAGTGCCGTTTTTTTAGCACTGATCACTGTATTGGTGTCACTGGGGATGTCAGTGACACCAAATTAGTTCCCCCCCAGTGTCAGAATACCTGCACAATCCCGCTAAAAGTCGCTGATCGCTGCCATTACTAGTAGGAAAAAAAAAATCCCAGTATATACTGTATACCGCTATTTGGAAACGCTATAACTTTCACGTAAACCAATTAATTTACACATCTTGGGATTTTTTTTAGCAAAGACGTCGCAGAATACATTTTGGCCTAAATTTATGATGAAATTTGATTTTTTAAATTTTTTTACTGGAAATGTTGAACCACTTGCCTACCGGGCACTTTTACCCCCTTCCTTACCAGGCCAATTTTCAGTGCTGTCGCACTTTGAATGACAATTGCGTGGCCACGCAACACTGTACCCATATGAAATTTTTATCTTTTCTCATAAACTGATGTAAAGTGATGAATGACGGATGAAAAACAGATGTGAAGTGATCTTTTTCTTGGAAAAATCATGACTGAACTGATGAAAAAAACAGAACGCCCGTGTGAAAGGGGCCGGCTTCATCACATTTATTTCAGTCATGCTGCTCTCTGCCTTGACTTCAACTTCAGTAACACATCTCCATGACAACGCTCAGCGGAAGTGAGGTTTCCTTCCTTTCAGTCTTGATTGGCGGGTCAGTCTTCTGTCTGGCTCCTGCGTTCTTATTGGACAACCGGCTTGATAGGGCGGGGTGACTGCTGATTGGATGCGCTGCCGTCGGTGTCAAGCAGGCGGTAGACATGGCTGAACTGGAGAAGGTCCCGGTGGTGGATATAGACCCAGACGGCACCTTCAAATACGTGCTGATACGAGTCAGCTACACGGAGAAGCTGACCGACTACAGGGACATCGTGAGGGGATACGGCTGGGCGGAGTACCACGGTGAGCGCGGGCAGCCATCTTTCCAGAGGGCTGCCATACCTTGGGTAGCCACGCCCTCAGTGTAACACGTGCTCAGGTGCTAGACCTGACGGAGAGTGAAGTAGCTGGGAAGGGGACCTGGCTGTCACTGAGGAGTTCTACGTCACCAATGGCATTGTTCCCAGTAAATACACAATATTGTATCGGACTATTCCGGGGAGAGTCGGTTCTCGAGCTCGTCCCTCTTCATCCTTGGCCCTTTCTTTTTGAAGGGTATGTCTGGGTCCTGTGCTGGCCCAGCTCCTCTTCCGCTCACCTCCTTCCTACATAACCTGTGTAACTCCCAGGGGAGGAGCATAGGAAATACTAGAGTGGGGTCACTATACAGGTTACAGCCTGATTGTACAATCCCTGCGGATTGCTTTAGATTTACTAAAACCTTTGTAATATGAGGATCTACCTAATGTGTCCAATCAGAGTGGCCCTTGTACTGCATACTATTGGTTGGTCTAGAGCTGATTATATCCTATACAGCAGGACTTGACAATTTTACTTTGACTCTTGGAGCCACCGCAATGTTGGTTGTCAGCGCCCACTTCACTGGCCCCCGAAGACTGCGGGACCATTCACAGAGTGCAGCATGCTTCACGTATGTGCAGTAGGAAACTGTCTGTGAGCCGCACTGTGTGTGTCTATGGATGCATACAGCCCGGCTTGTATGGTCAGATTGGAATGTTCATGGTGACCCTTTGATTCTCCAAAACTGTAATATGAGGACCTACCAAAGTGTGTGTGTGTGTCCATCCATTCAGGCAGGCCCTTGCACAATAGTTTTTTTTTTTTTCTTTACAACTTGGATAGTGGCTCTAAACTCGGGGTCTTCAAACTATAATCCATGGATAAAATTAGGCCCTCGGCAAGATTCTATCTGGCCCTCTGATATAAGGCCTGGTTCACACTTATGCATTTTGCAGAAGCGCACTACAGTACATTTAACATGGTTTCCTATGGGACACAGTCACATCTAAGTGTTTTTTCATTTGCTGCGTTTTTGGAAAGGATGGACTTTTTTTAAACACAATGTTGTGCATTTTCGTTTAAGTAGAGTTCGCTGGACAAGCGGCAGAAACGAGTATACTGTATTTTTGATGGGTTTTTTTTTTGCCAATAGGAAAATATTGACTTTGATGCAACTTTAGATGGGTGCAACTTGGATGCTGCTTGAATGCCAGAGAGTGTATTGTAGCATCAGTCACACTTCATTATCAGAACTGTCATACTTTCCTATTGGCAAAAAAAAAAAAGTGACAGTTCTATTCATGTAGTGTGATTATTATTTTTTTTTTTTTTTATGTGACTTTACACTCTCTGGCATTCAAGTAGCATCAAAGTCACACCCATTCAAAGTCGCATCCAAGTTGCATCAAAGCTGCACCCATCCAAAGTCACATCAAAGTTGCATCAAAGTCAGTACTTACCTAATGACCCAAAAAAAAACCCCTGTAAAAAACACACTGCAAAATGAGCCGGTAAAAAAAAAAACTCAGTCTCAGCATGTTGAGACTGTTGACTCAGTCTCAACATGCAGGGTTGTGAACCTAGCCTAAGGTGGTACTCTGATAGGAACACTGAAGGAAGAGGGGACTCTGATGTAAAGGGGGGCATTGATGGGGACCTTAATGTGTGGGGTGACTCTGATGGGCTCCCATTTATTTGGAATGTTGTTGCTTTGTTTTACTGAGGTTTTTTTTTTTTTCTCTTTTGCTTTAAATCATATTAGGTTAATTAAAAAAAAAAGTCAAACATGCTATTTGTTCATTTATAAAACATGCATCCCTTTAGTATTTTTTTTTTTTTTTGGTCGATGAATATTTATGAAATATGCAACATGGCCCTCATACTGAAAATCTTGGAGGCCCCTGCTGTAAACTTTCCTCCCTGTATAGAAAATGACCGTGTGTCTGTAATAATTCATGTTTATTTCCAAATCCAAGGTTAAAATTGGTTACAAATAATTTGTTCACATAATGATCTGCCAAGATGGTGAATCCATATTTTATGATCTAGTCCTTTGATCTCAACATCTATCTATCCATTCAGTCGTATCTGACCCTTGGCGATTGCATGGACTGTCACTCGTAAGTGACTTTTCCCATGAATTCTCTTAGCAATTATTTTACAAGGTAGGTTGCCAGGTCTTTCCCCAACCCCTACCATGCAGGAGATCCCGCATGGCCAAGGATGAAAACTAGGACAACTTAGACAGGAGCCAATTAACCTACCAGCATGTCTTTGGAGTGTGGGAGGAAACCGGAGTACCCGGAGGAAACCCACTCAAGCACAGGGAGAACATGCAAAATCCACGCAGGAGGTGCCATGGTTGGGAATTGAACCCATGACCCATTTACTGCACTGCAGACGTGCTAACCACTAAGCCACTGTGCTGCCCAATCTCAAGATGTTTCTCCACTATTTTGGCTTCCTTAGGAGATAGTTGTGCTACAAATTAAAGGAAAAGTTCACCTTTTGACCAAAAATAATAAAATAAATAATAAAATTAAAAAAAAAATAAATTAAAAAAAAAATAAATGCACATTTTAATGCAAACGTGTTTGTTTGCAGCCATCTTCACCCTCTTCCTTCTTCCGTGTTTGTTTGCAACCATCTTCACCCTCTTCCTTCTTCCGTGTTTGCAGCCATCTTCACCCTCTTCCTTCTTCCGTGTTTGCAGCCATCTTCACCCTCTTCCTTCTTCCGTGTTTGCAGCCATCTTCACCCTCTTCCTTCTTCCGTGTTTGTTTGCAACCATCTTCACCCTCTTCCTTCTTCCGTGTTTGCAGCCATCTTCACCCTCTTCCTTCTTCCGTGTTTGTTTGCAACCATCTTCACCCTCTTCCTCCTTCCGTGTTTGCAGCCATCTTCACCCTCTTCCTTCTTCCGTGTTTGCAGCCATCTTCACCCTCTTCCTTCTTCCGTGTTTGCAGCCATCTTCACCCTCTTCCTTCTTCCGTGTTTGTTTGCAGCCATCTTCACCCTCTTCCTTCTTCCGTGTTTGTTTGCAGCCATCTTCACCCTCTTCCTTCTTCCGTGTTTGTTTGCAGCCATCTTCACCCTCTTCCTTCTTCCGTGTTTGTTTGCAGCCATCTTCACCCTCTTCCTTCTTCCGTGTTTGCAGCCATCTTCACCCTCTTCCTTCTTCCGTGTTTGCAGCCATCTTCACCCTCTCCTTCTTCCGTGTTTGTTTGCAGCCATCTTCACCCTCTTCCTTCTTCCGTGTTTGTTTGCAGCCATCTTCACCCTCTTCCTTCTTCCATGTTTGTTTGCAGCCATCTTCACCCTCTTCCTTCTTCCGTGTTTGTTTGCAGCCATCTTCACCTCTCTTCCTTCTTCCGTGTTTGTTTGCAGCCATCTTCACCCTCTTCCTTCTTCCGTGTTTGTTTGCAGCCATCTTCACCCTCTTCCTTCTTCCGTGTTTGCAGCCATCTTCACCCTCTTCCTTCTTCCGTGTTTGTTTGCAGCCATCTTCACCCTCTTCCTTCTTTCCGTGTTTGTTTGCAACCATCTTCACCCTCTTCCTTCTTCCGTGTTTGTTTGCAACCATCTTCACCCTCTTCCTTCTTCCGTGTTTGTTTGCAACCATCTTCACCCTCTTCCTTCTTCCGTGTTTGTTTGCAGCCATCTTCACCCTCTTCCTTCCGTGTTTGCAGCCATCTTCACCCTGTCCTTCTTCCGTGTTCGCAGGCTCCGGCAGCTTGAATGGCTGTGCCGTGATGACGTCACTTCTGCGCGCATGCACTTTTTACGGCACACAGCTTTGAAGGATTGGCATGGGCATACCATTTCTTCAGAGAGCATGCGCCGGTACTGCTACACAGGTCATCTTCTAAACGATGCACGTTTAGGAGATATTTACAGTACCTACAGGTAAGCCGCCTTATAGGTTTACCTGTAGGTACAAGTACAAAAATAGACTTTACTATCACTTTAGGGGCCATGCAGACCTACCCTATACATAGGCAAGTCAATATCTTCCACCAGATGTTAATAGGTTCATGGCTAGACCACCAATGTTTAGTCTGTGGAGACAGCCCACCAAAATCTACAAACATGAATAAATGTAAGCCCATCTAGGCAATAGATAAGTAAGGAATATAATCAACAAAAAGTAATAACTAAGTAAATTTTCATAACCACAAAGGGGAGATCGCCTTGGGTGTCCACCAACATCTCCCTATAATATAAGCTGCGTTTTTTTTAATTGCTGTGTCCCTTTTGAGGTGGGTGATTTGCCCTTCTTGTTCTGTACATACATACATAGGAAGTAGGGACCTGACCTCCCCACCATCCAAACCTAATTGACTGGAGTTGAGCTTTAAATGAGATTTATTTAGAATCTTGACGATCATTTATTGTCTTGTTCATAAAATATTATCATTGTTATATATGTGCCATGTTCCCCTCATTTTGCACATTAGAATATGACTCTATAAAGGCTGGCACTGTTTTCTTGCAGCTGACATCTATGACAGAGTGGCCTCGGAGATTGAGAAGGACCGTGTGCTGGACTGTGAGTGCCTGGGGGGAGGCCGAATTTCCCATTCCAGCGGTAGCAAGAAGATCCATATCTACGGCTACTCTTTGGTAACTGAATTTATAGACATTGCTTTCTTTTCTGTTGCTTTACATCATTCTACAGACAATACTTTATTTATACAACAGAACTTTGAAGTAAAGGCATACATACATAAAGTGTGAGGGATGAGAGCAGCACAATGTATGATCAGTCCAGTATAGATTTATTAATCTTGATAATGGCTCACTAGGTATAGCCAATGCATTTCAGGGCACACAACTCTCACATTTATTAAAGCGGAGTTCCACTCACCCTGTCAAAAAAGAAGTCCGCAGCTACAAAAACTGTAGCTGCTGACTTTTAAAAAAAACAGCCACTTACCTGTCCCACGATCCCGCGGTGTGTCCTCTGCAGCCTGTTTCACCGGCCATCCTATATTCCAGAAGGCTGGCATCTTCATTGTGGGTACCCGGCTGTGATAGCTTGCGGCTTCACAGCCGGGTACCCACTGCGCATGTGTGAGTAACGCTGCGCTTCACGAATGGTCCTGTAGTCTTCTGGGACCTGTCACGTGTCTCAAAAGACTACAGGGAGTGAGGATACCTTCCGCTTCCGGTCGCCTAGGAAGTGGAAGCTGGTACCTGTCAAATTTGGGTACCCCCCCCCCCCCCCCCCCAAAGGTGCCAATCCTTAATGGGGAGCAGTCCTTAAAGAGTAACTTTCCCTTTTGTGGGGAGCTCTGCTTTAATCTCGATAATGGCTCACTAGGTATAGCCAATGCATTTCAGGGCACACAATTCTCCCATCGTCAGGGCTTGAATACTGGACATTGTGACAAAGGATCAAGAAATAGAATGTCAGGCTGGCACTCTACTGATATTATACTTATCTGTGATCCTTCGCTCACCTTGTCCAGTATTTCTTCCTATCGCTGCCAGCATTCAAGCCCTGAAGAAGGGGGAGTTGTGAGCCCCCGATACACGCTGGCATTCATTGCTGATCTTTTTATCAAGGATGCTAAATCCAGGCAGGCCGTGCATGCGCACAACATTCCCTGTTCATTGCTGTCAGAAGGCCTTCAGTTGTTGGCAGCTGTTTATGATGCACAGGGCTTTAGCAAACTAATTGTCATCTAGTAAGGGTTGAGATCTTCTTTAGCCACTTGCCTACTGGGCACTTTTAACCCCTTCCTGCCCAGGCCCATTTTCAGCTTTCAGGGCTGTTGCACTTTGAATAACAATTGCACGGTCATGCAACACTGTACCCATATGACATTTTTATAATTTTTTTTTCACACAAATAGAGCTTTCTTTTGGTGGTATTTAATCACCACAGGGGTTATTTTTTGCACTATAAACAAAAAAAAAACAAAGTGTGAAAAGTTTTTCTTTGTTTCTATTATAAAATTTTGCAAACAAGTCATTTTTCTCCTTCATTGATGTGCGTTGATAAGGCTGCACTGATGAGGTGGCACGGATAGGCTGCACTGATGAAGCAGCACTGGTGGGCATTGATGAGGAGGCACTGATATGCTGCAATGATGGGCACTGACTGATGGGCACTGCTGGTGGCACTGATTGGCACTGCTGGGTGGCACTGATGATCAAAACTGTTCTATTGCCGACAACAGAGGGAGACTTGTGTGATTTGGAACTGTCAAATCTCATAACCAGTCTCACTGGTGTGAACCAGGGGTGAAGTAAATATCTACTCCAGGCAACTACAGTGGGGCAAAAAAGTATTTAGTCAGCCACCAATTGTGCAAGTTCTCCCACTTAAAAAGATGAGAGAGGCCTGTAATTGGCATCATAGGTAGACCTCAACTATGAGAGACAAAATGAGAAAAAAAATCCAGACAATCACATTGGCTGATTTGGAAAGAATTTATTTGCAAATTATGGTGGAAAATAAGTATTTGGTCACCTACAAACAAGCAAGATTTCTGGCTCTCACAGACCTGTACCTTCTTCTTTAAGAGGCTCCTCTGTCCTGCACTCATTACCTGTATCAATGGCACCTGTTCGAGGTTATGGACAGGTGTCTTTTATACTGATAACAAGTTCAAACAGTCACACTCCAAACTCCACTATGTTGAAGACCAAAGAGCTGTCGAAGGACACCAGAAACAAAATTGTAGACCTGCACCAGGCTGGGAAGACTGAATCTGCAATAGGCAAGCAATAATTAGAAAATGGAAGACGTACAAGACCACTGATAATCTCCCTCGATCTGGGGCTCCACGCAAGATCTCACCCCGTGTGGTCAAAATGATCACAAGAACGGTGAGCACAAATCCCAGGACCACATGGGGGGACCTAGTGAATGACCTGCAGAGAGCTGGGACCAACGTAACAAAGGCTACCATCAGTAACACACTACGCCGTCAGGGACTCAGATCCTGCAGTGCCAGACGTGTCCCCCTACTTAAGCCAGTACATGTCCGGGCCCGTCTGAAGTTTGCTAGAGAGCATTTGGATGATCCAGAAGAGGATTGGGAGAATGTCATATGGTCAGATGAAACCAAAATAGAACTGTTTGGTAGAAACGCAACTCATCATGTTTGGAGGAGAGAGAATGCTGAGTTGCATCCAAAGAACACCATACCTACTGTGAAGCATGGGGGTGGCAACTTCATGCTTTGGGGCTGTTTCTCTGCAAAGGGACCAGGATGACTAATCCATGTACAGGACAGAATGAATGGGGCCATGTATTGTGAGATTTTGAGTGCAAACCACCTTCCATCAGCAAGGGCATTGAAGATGAAGCATAGCTGGGTCTTCCAACATGACAATGATCCCAAACATACCGCCCGAGCAACGAAGGAGTGGCTTCGTAAGAAGCATTTCAAGGTCCTGGAGTGGCCTAGCCAGTCTCCAGATCTCAACCCCATAGAAAACCTTTGGAGGGAGTTCAAAGTCCGTGTTGCCCAGCGACAGCCCCAAAACATCACTGCTCTAGAGGAGATCTGCATGGAGCAATGGGCCAACATACCAGCAACAGTGTGTGCCAACCTTGTGGGGACTTACAGGAAACGTTTGACCTCTGTCATTGCCAACAAAGGATATATAACAAAGTATTGAGATGAACTTTTGATATTGACCAAATACTTATTTTCCACCATAATTCTTTCCAAATCAGCCAATGTGATTGTCTGGATTTTTTTTCTCATTTTGTCTCTCATAGTTGAGGTCTACTTATGATGCCAATTACAGGCCTCTCTCATCTTTTTTAAGAGGGAGAACTTGCACAATTGGTGGCTGACTAAATACTTTTTTGCCCCACTGTATATGCTCAGATTGATAGGTTTGCTCAAAGTGCTTTTGGTCCAGGCTGATATAACTTAATATTTTGTATTTAGCCTGCAATAATGGATGAAGAAAATTTTACAGTAGCATACCAAAGAAAATTGGTTGTAGCCCCTGGTTAGCTTATATTTGAATTAACAGCCAAAATATTTCATAAAACACTAACTGCGCATTCTCTCATCTTTTGTAGGGTTTTGGTCGGGCCAAACACTCTGTAGCTATGGAGCTGATCAAGACTAAATATCCAGACTATGAGGTCACCTGGTCAGACGAAGGATACTGATGAGACTTCCAATGATCATACAGAATTCTGGGGCATGGTGTTGCTGTTCTGAGGCTTAAACTGCACAGGAGATTTTAGTCTTCTGCTACTCAGTGATTCCCACTTGCTGGACTTCATCTCTTTTGCTCCCCATTGTTTACAGTGGTTTGTAGATGAGGTCATTCTCATTACAGGTAAATCACGTAGTAATATAAAATTAAAGTAGAATTCCAGCCTTACACTAACTATTCTTAGAAATGTTCTCTTCCCCCGTCCTACTACCTATACTGCCTTACCTGTGTATTAAAAGATCTGTATACTTACCTATTTTTAGTCTGCTTCAGCCAGGTCACGTGATCCTTTGTGTTAGCAAGCAGTGTGTACAGGGAAGAGGAGGGAGCACTCGACAATGTCATGGAATTCTGTGATATCGCTCAAAGGCTCCAATGTTCCAGCTGTGGTTGGTGCTCCCTCCTTTCCCCTGCAGCTGTCACTGACTGACACAGAGGAGCCAAAGCCACGGATCACGTGACTGGAAGAGAGCAGGCCCAAAATAGGTAAGTACACATAGCTTTTATTACACAGGTTATGTAGCAGGAGAAGGGAGGGAGCATTTTTAAGAGCAGTTGCTGTTCGGCAGGAATTTCACTTTAAAAGAAATCTTTACTGAGGAATTATGGAAGCAACAATTGCTGACTTGTTCTTTTAAAATTCTAAATCCATGGCTGTCATACTGAATCAAATAAAGGATTTAGAATTTCTTATCTCGGACTTTCTAATCTGCATGTTTATTCCTAGTTGGTGACTCCAAAAGTATTGGAGCCAGAGACCGCTAGATGGAGCTCAGCAACGGAAACCTTTTTTTAAAGTAGGTTTACTATTAAATCTGAGGTCATATTGCATATGGAATACAGAAGCCTACTGTGTAAGTGTAGACCTGCCTTCTGTCCACAAGAGGGTAATGTATTCTCACATAGTTGTATGATAGTGTACAATTTGCCTTGACAAAGGGGAAGCCATTTTGTTGGCTGAACTTTATTCAAAATGATCACAATTGTACCTGCTAAAGTAACATTTACATTGCCTTACTATAAAGCTGGCCATACTTTTTTTTTTTTTTTTTTTATTCAACCAAAAAAAAACCAGATTCATCCATCCACACAAACGAGGTGGATGGAAGAATATTTCCCCGCCAGGACATTGTATTCCGAGAGCTTCACCTATTGCCGTCAGAATACACTGATCAGTGATTTTGCTGCAGTTGCTAAGTTGAGAAACCTTTTCCATTACATACCTTTAACAGAAATCGGTCAAACGATCAACTTCTGTTAAGCAGGGACAGACATACACTGATCTTAATTCAGCCAGTGCCTGCTGATCCAACCAACTGTTTGATTAGGTGATGCCACTAAACTTTGCTAAATACATCTGTCTAGTGGCATCATCTAATCAAACAGTAAAGCGGGTCATACACGCATCAAAATTTGGTTGGATCAGCAGGGTCTGGCTGAATTAAGATCAGTGTATGGCTGTCCCTGCTTAACAGATATATATTGAGCTAACATAAGACCTGCCTTCACATTAAAAGTGTCATCTTATTGTACTGTTGAGCTTTCTAATGCCACAAAATTTCCCTTTTCATGAGTGTTTCCTGTGTAAATAAAATAATCTGTGAACATCTTGGTAAACCTGTTATCTTTACTGCTATTTTATGTAAAATTTGAGCAGGGGGATGGTTTACATTTACTGATAATCACCTTGGAAAGCAGACCCAAAACTGTACACTAAGAACATATGACTGAACTGCTTTACTTGTTCACATACTTTTAATCTTCCTTGACCAGTGATTTGACACCCCAGCCACACAGCATAGCCAGAATGGTGACCTCACCGATCACTTTCAGCTTCATGTGTCTCCTGCACACTTATTAGAATATAAAAGAGTTTAAAGTTATTCTAAAGGCTGTACTTTTTGTATTGAAAAGACAAAATGTTATACTTATCTGCTCTGTGCAATGATTTTGCAAAGAGTAACCCCAATCCTCTTCTATTTTTGGTCTTCTGCTGGCCGTCTATGTTGCCCCTCCCCTGCAGAGTACCACGAGCCACACTCCTGTGAATGGACATTGTCTGCTGCTGTGCAAGCCAGTGAGGAGAGAGAGACCCCAGAGAGCTGCTGCTCTCATGCACATCGCAGGATTGAGATGGGCTCGGGTAAGTACGGTAGTGAAAATAATTGATCCCCTGCAGATTTTGTGAGTTTTCCCACTTACAAAGAAACAAAGGGTCTATCATTTTTATCATAGATGTATTTTAAATGATAGTGACAGAATATCAACCAAAAATCCAGAAAAAACATGATACAATTGTTATAAATTGAGTTGCAGTTCAGTGAATAAGATAAGTATTTGATCCCCAAGCAAAATATAACTTAGTACTTGGTGGAGAAACCCTTGTTGGCAAGCACAGAGATGAGATGTTTCTTCTAGTTGCTTACCAGGTTTGCACACATTTCGGGAGGAATTTTGGTCCACTCTTTACAGATCTCTATATCCTTAAGGTTTCTTGGCTGTCACTTGGCAACTCGAAGTTTCAGCTCCCTCCATAAATTTTTTTTATAGGACTAAGGTCTGGAGACTGGCTAGGCCACTCCATGACCTTAATGTGCTTCTTCATGAGCCACTCCTTTGTTGCCCATCCATGACCCATCTTCAGTGTTTTGGCTGAGGAAAGAAGGTTCTCATCCAAGATTTTACAATACATGGCCTCTTCCATTGGCCCCTCAATGTGGCAAAGTCGGCCTGTACCTTTTAGCAGAGAAATATCCCCAAAGCAGAATGTTTCCACCTCCGTGCTTGACTGTACGGATGGTGTTCTTATGGTCATAGTCAGCATTTTTCTTCCTCCAAACACGCCAAGTTGAGTTAATGCCAAAGAGCTCATGTGGTACACAGATTAGTCCTGTCTGTAGGAGCCAGAATTATTGTTGGTTGGTGGGGGATCAAATACTTATTTTACTCACTGAACTGCAACTCAATTTATTACTCAATTTATTACATTTGTATCATGTTTTTTTCAGGGTTTTTGGTTGATATTCAGTTTCATTTCATTTAAATACACCATTCCTTTGTAAGTGGGCAAACTTACAAAATCTGCAGGTGATCAAATAATTATTTTCCCCACTATATATGTTGGGGGCTGTGCACAGAAGGCTTTTTACCTTCATGCATAGAATGCATGAAGGTAAAAAACCTTCTGCCTTTAGAACCACTTTAAAGCAAACCTATGATTTACCCATGCAGAGCAAAACAGATCTGCTTTAATGCACTCCATTCTAGCAGTATTGGTGGGAGCTCTGTGTAAGCTCCGAGTACGGTAACTCTACTCAGAGCTTTCCAGGCCTAAGGACTGTCTACTCAGCCAAGCACCAGCACTGTCACATGAATGAAAGGGGAGGGAGTCAAGTTGTGAGAAGCTAAATTGAAAAGATAGGTTTGTTTATAGTAACAAAATTAAATCATACTTAAGCTTGCTAAAAGCCTGCCAATGCTTGCTTCAAGCTAAAGTGTTTAAAGCAGTATTAAACCCAAAAGCAAACAATTATATTGCAGCTTACCAACTCTTACATGTGATGTCCTTTTTGTCTTTTTTTTTACATTTGCTGTGGCTGACTATAAAGTTTTTAACTTGAGTTTGGCGTCCATTAATTAGTGTAGTTAAATCTGATAATACATTTAACACTACCTTTTCCTCCAGACTGACAATGCTGCTGCCTGCTCTACCTCCTGTGCCCATTCCTCCAGAGTTGTCTCTCATTAATACAGGAGGTGTTACTGGCCAGATCAGGTGAAAATAAAGGGAAAAAGCCAAAGAGCAAACTGATTGAGCCACCACATCTAATGATTGGTAAGCTGCAATATAATACATTTTTGGTTTGGGGCTTAACCGGTTTCCCGCTGCCCTATATTAGATATACTGCTACAGGGTGGCAGGGCTGCACAAAATCGTGTGTGTGTTTCCATTTTTGGGTAGGGGATGGTGCGAGTTCACTACCTGCGCCGCTGCCTCGGCTATCAATCACTGGGTCCCGGCAGGTGATAAGTCGCCGGTGATCGTGGAGCATTACTGACAGAGGGAGAGAACTGTAAGTAAACAATACAGTTCTCTCCCGTCAGCTCCTGCACACTGCTTTGCATAGCAGAGCCATATAAAGCAGTGTGCTTACAGTTGAAAGCACACACAGCCCACAGTAAAAGGAAGGGAGTTTGACTCCTGAAACGCATTAGCAGATTTCACCCAAGGATCTCCACTGTCCGCGATTGTCATCTTTGGCTCCTTGCCTGTTTTTATGACCTTTTTGGTTTGTGAGTATGTGTTTGTGACTTTACAATAAATTTTCCTTTATATTACGGCAATGCACGAGGAGAGTGTGCCCTGTTTTATTCTTTTTTTGCCAGCATCAAGACTCCCCGATCTATTGAAGGCGGCACTTCAGCAAGTGTCTGATTCCGTGTTTTCTGTGTAACCTGAAGATCTGAGCGCTGGTTTTGGTATATGCTGAAGCTTATTAAATACTTGCAGTGTCTGAGACTTTTCAGACTAGCACTTAAAGAGCTAAAATTGCAGAGATGCTGTGTCTGAGCCATTATTCTGATCCAGAAAGCAAAAATTCCCTTTCAGAATGATATGAAATCATTACTACTATAATTATCAAGTGGGCATCTGCTGGGCTGGCAGGAAGCCTTCCTCTGGCCTACTGTGCCCTAAATTTTATAGGCAGGTTCTTTCCTGTACTAGTGGAAGCATACCAGGCCTAACATATGCTTTTATTGAATTTCTGCACATGCTGTCATGAGATGAGCTGTCAGTAATTCCATTAATGCAGAGTTCTAAAAAGGCAATACATGTTTCTTTTTATTGACGGTATAGCTCATGCACACATTTGCTATTCTGTATCTTTGCCTTCCTTTTCACATCAGATTTGTATCTGCTAATTCCCTGTACTCCCAAATGTACACAAT